GACTTGCGATCAGAGTCATGGAACGGATTAAGTTCGTAAGTAGAGGTACCACTGTATTTTGACACAGCAGTTGAATGACGGTATAGATCAGTGTTTTTCAACCTTGGCAGCTTTAAGATGTATAGACACAACTCCCAGAATTAAAGTTACCAAGGTTGAAAAACATTGGTATAAATGCTTCCTAGTGGAAAAATGACTTGTAATAAATAACAGTTTATTCAAAAATTGGCAAGTTCCCCCATCTTCCAGAGTTCCAACATTCTTTCTCTAAAGAACCAGCCAGAAGGCTCAGAGTCTACCCAAGAGGGTGGTTTGATTTGATGTTACATTTTTCCTCTCCCACGGAGCCTGTCCTGTCCTGGGGCCTCCGCAGTCCTGAAGTAGGTATGAAATGTTGTGTGTGCACACACACATACCCACAGGAGTGATTGTCTGTCATTCTGCTTCCATGCTGTAAGCTCTTCTACTGATATGCCTGTTCTCCATAACTACTCACAGTTAAGTCTGCCAAGTTGAGTGACAGATATTTTGTCACTTTCCAAAAAGGCAGAATCTCTGTGCCTTTAATGAGATGCGTAATGGGCAAGAGATACAGGAAACAATGCTTTTGACAGCATGGTATTGAGAAAGGCTGCCTCCCTTCCATTTCAGCCTGCCTTGCACACATTAGGTGCCTCTGGGTATGCCAAGAAAAAGGTGGGGGGTGAGAACCCATAGGTGAGCTTTAACTCTGCTCTTTTAATGGTACGCCTCCCTCATTAGGGATTCATGCAAGTCCTGGAGGAACAAAGTTTAACTTTGGTTTTGATGCAACTGGTGAGGTCTTTCCTGGCTCACTTTTCAGCTGTCAGCAGCAGAAACCAAGATCAGATGGCTGATGAGTGAATATGGGTAGCAGAATTGGAGAGACCTCTGTACTAAATGGATTGTGATCTATTGATATCCATTATGAGATTCAAGTAACCCTGTAGTCAGAGTGCACACATTTCTTCAGTTTCAGGAAGTACTGCTTCACTTCCCAGTTTTCTTTCCATCTTATTCTTCTTGAGATCACAAATACTACTGTCTCCAAGAATTCAGAAATTATCTGAATTCTGTTCACTCTCCTTTTCATCCTCCTCCGACCATAAGATTTCATTCAGTCTTTTGCATATGAAAATGCTAGTATACTTTGTATTGCTCCTTCCTTATATGATATCACTTAATTGGACATCACTCCTCTATGACATCACCAGGGTGGTCTTATAGCTGGATCTCCAAATAGCTTTTGGCACTAATTGTGATGTCATTGCTTAAGCAATCATCAGATTCTATGAGGCTCTTGCCAGATAGTCATTCTATCCTTTGAGTGGGTTAGAGTAGCAAGGCTGAAGATTGACTATGTAATACATATACAGCAGTGAGAGGAGCGCAGAGCCAAGAGTTGGGATCCAGTTTTGTAGCTTTATATAAGAAGTCAACCTCAAGAAAGTCCAGTTGACATTAACTGTCTGGAAGTTCCTGTAGATCAGCCAGAAATTTACTTCTGTATCTTCTGGGTCTTATACATCACTACTGGAGGCTAGCCAGTTGTAAAGACTGAAGTGGAAACTTATCTGAATTTCTGGAACCAGGGAGGCCAAAATTCTAGTTTTCTTCTAAGGAAAAAACAAAACAAAACCCAAAAACAAACTCTTTGGAAAGTGCAGATCAAGACGTTTTGGTTTACTTCTAAAGCTAAATATCTTCTGTTGGTTTGATGCTATTATATACTGGGAAATAGCATCAGATCTTCTATATATAAGGAACTGAGTTTCACGATATTAGGGAAACCAAGCTGAGAAGACACGAGTTACCATTGTCTCCTGTTAAGAGCCTATGAAGAAAAGTTGTAAAAAAAAACCCCTAAGATTATCGATCGAGCATTTTTCCTTTGGACATTTTGGTTGAGAGCTGGAAATGATCCATTTCTGAAGTCTCTGAAGCCACAACCCTTAGAAAGCTGGTGAGGACACCAACATTACAAAAATAAATCAGCTGGAAATAGCTGTACCACTCTTTTATCAAGAGTCCAGACTGAGGAAGCACCATCTCCTCTGACTTGTGATGAAGCGTCCTTTGCGATTTAGCCTGGTATACCTTTTGGTTTCCTTGTTGCCTTCCACCTTCTCCAAGGATTGCTACTTCTGTGAAATCACTTCCTCAACGATGTGTCCTGGCCTCAGAATGAACTGTGCCGAAGACGAAGACTGCTTTGTGGGTGAAGGGGTTGCCTTGGGTGTTTCAGATATCCAGAACAAGGGGTGTACCCGCTCCATCAACTGTGGCAAAGAGCAGCCCATCTCCTATATGGGGGTCACCTACAGCTTGGTCACCAACTGCTGTAAGGGGAACTTGTGCAACGCGACTCAGTCTCTGAGAGCCCCCTCCCTTTTCTTGCAGTTTGCCCTCATCAGCCTCCTGCTGGGGTTCTTCTGATTTAAAAAGCTTCAAGCAATAAAATAATTGGGATATTTTTGGAACATTAAATCCTTGGGTCTGTGATGTGAAAAATGGCTGCATCCTGGCACTGGGTGAAGGATAATTGCATTTATGTCCTGGCTTTCTCACAGTTATACTTTTAGGTTGCAAGGCTATGATCCCAGAGGGTAACTTGACCTCTAACCAGTGGATAATCCACTGTACAATGGGTTCAGTGTTGGTACTATTGTCTATATGTATGTGTATTGAAATATTATATATATCAGTGTTTCTCAACCTTGGCAACTTGAAGATGTGTGGACTTCAACTCCCAGAACTGGCTGGGGAATTCT